GCGAATGTGTGAGAAGAGAGAATATATTGAAAAATTTCTCTATATAAGGAAATGAATATTAATGTAAATGTATTACAAATATTTAAATTTTATTAGTAAAGTTAGATATTGATATAATTCTTAGTACAAAAATTATATTCAAATTCGTTGAGCCTTAAACCTGTTTTTATTATTTCGATGGACTGATTTTTGCTTATTTGAGGACATCGAAAAATTAAAAAAAAAAAAAAATTGCATTTCATTGGAAGATACTCTTCACGCTTTAACTATCTTTGCAACTAATCGGCAAGAAATTGAAAATGTTTATAGTTTAGCCAGCAGCAGTCGATAACAAAATTAGCTGATGATCTAACTGTGGCAAAATCTAGTTATGATTATATATACTATCTGCTCACTTTCTTTATGCCTGATTAGTAATAATAAATGGCCACAGGTGTGCTAAATCAGCAGAATCATGTTGATAGAAGGCTAAAAACATACAAACAAACAGTTATATATATACATATAAAATAAATAATATTCCTTAAATATAACAAATGACATATATTAACTTCCTTTGCAATAAATAATGTCGGTAATAAAATATTTCTTTCTCTCTCTCTCCCACTCTCTCTCTCTTTCTGTCTCACTCAATCTGTGACTCACTCGTCCTTCCTGTCTCTAATTCGCTGTCTCTCTCCCTCTCACTCTGTCTCTCTCTCTCACTTAATCCCTCTCTCTTTCCTATAGAATTTATTTTAGAATGTTCCCCTATCCTCTGTCTCTCTCTATCCTGCGCGATTTAATTTTTGCTAGTTCAAAATTTCCCTGGAAATGACCTAACATCCTCTAAGCTAATCCCCACAAAATTTATAAAATTATCTTTGCCAAAACCCAAAGAGAGAAACCTATTTTGATGATATTTGAGCCTCTTTACATATATATTTACACGTTACCAATTATATTCGTATATAAATAAATTTGTACTCTCCAATTTCTGATATATCCTTTAGATCTCTACAATTGCTGCTGTTTTCGTATTCGCGCCAAATGTCCAACTGTGCTGAATAGTTTTTCCTTTATGTATTCGCATGTCCTTAGGCGCTGCCCACTTGCCCCGCAATGCCCTCTGTCTTCTGTACAGGGGACTTCACTCTCGTAGCCCCGTAGCTGTCGTCTATAATTAACTCAGCTGGATGGCTGATCTTTGACTTTGACTGTCTGCACAAGGACAATGGATCTTGAGCATATGTGCAGCAGCTTTTGTAAGAGATTTTCAACAAGTATGCGGAGAGTGCTCTAAGTTCTAGTATGAGTATGGGTATGAGTATGTGTATGAGTGTGCGCATGAGCATGAGTATGAGTACGAGTATAGGTATTCCGCCTGTACGTATTCGTTCTCGTATTCATATTCATTTGTATGCTGCCCCCTTTTTTGTTTGCAAGTTTCGCACTGCGGTGCTTGAAGAAATCAAAAGTCGTCTCGCTTATTGTTCGACGAGTGGCAATGTGTACTGTACACACATATACATAAAAGCATATGCATGCTTGCATGTGTGTGCGTGTGTGTGTGTGTATCTGCCTTTGCTGATCTTGTAAGAGCTCACGTTTTTCGATTGTGTGTCTTATTGACATGCCAGCACTACCAGGACGACGGCTGCTATCGCTATTGTTCGGGAAACGGAAGTCCTGCCTTTTGCCGTACAAATGCCCAAAAATACACAACGAAGAAGCCGGAGCAGAATCGCAATGCTAGGCAAAGGCAAAGGCAAAGGCAAAGGCAAAAAAAAAAACCCATGCCGCGTTCTCAAGTCAAATTGAAGTAGTCTCGTCGCACTCTATAATTATAACGAGGTCAACTGCCAGATCCTGCCCTGCCCTTCCCTGCCGCTGCACTCTGGGCAGATGATGTCTGAGTAGGCGTGGCGCGTAACTTAATACCAAAGCTGCAAACGCACTCGCTGCCGAGGCACGCGCCCCTAACAACCGGCTAACTACCCAGCGACTGCAATTCGCACCGGAAGATGCTGCAAGCCAAGATCTCTGCAGTTATCTCCAGCTGCCCCGGTCCGAGAGGGTTCGCGAAAACCACGAAAATAAAAGAACCCAGAGAAACCGTGAATATCTCTGAGCGTACATATGCCGAAATAATTATAAAATGTCACTCAGATGCGTAACCCTTCTCGGGGTAAGAACTCTGCTACAATTTTTATCTATTTTATTTTTTATTTTTTCTTATTTTTTTACCTATACATTTTTTTAATTAACGTGAGAAAACCACATAAATAACATATATCATTATTTGTAGAGCTGTTTGACTATTTACTCTGATTTTGTTATTTTGTCATGGATTTTCTCATTTTACACACACGCACACACACACACACTCTTAAATAAGATGACGGACTACGTTTCACTCGCTCGATGTCAATGAAAGACGGTGCTACCACAAACACACACATGCATACACATACATACACTTAAGCACTCACACATGCTGCCTTTGGAGAGCGAATTTTATGACAAATTTGACAAATCTGTCGCCACAATAGAACAAAATTTAAAATCACGATAAATACTAGAAATATTCAACTGACTCATACTCTATTTTGTACAAAATGTTTCTCTTATTACACATTCTCAAACTGTGACTCCCAATCAGTTGCTTTCAAACTGCCGCTTGAGCTAAGGCTGAGCTTGAAGAGCAAAGATTCAACAATACGTAAGCTTTCAAGGGAAAATATATACATATTTAAATACATATATAGTTAGTATATACTAAATTGTCGAAGACAGGTTTACTCATTACAAATTTTACCAAAAATAATAATTTAATTTAAAATAATAAATAGAAATAAATAGTTCAATAGTTCACAAATAAAAAACTATATTTACTTAACGCCATTGTTATTCATTTTACTAATAATTAAAAGAATAAATTAATTTAATTAAAAAATTAATTCAACACTTTATATGCTCTACTTAATATATTAAAATACGCAAATATTATATCAAGCCAATATACTCTGCTTACGACACGAGCACGATGCACAAGCTCCAAAAAAAAAAATATATATATAAAAAATAAAATTGAAATAACAACAACAATATTTGTATTATGGCCCAACTGAAGTGCTAAGTGCTTTGATATCAATACTCGCTCGAAGCTGCGCTGCCGACGTCGTCGTCGACGTCGACGCTTGAGTATTGGGAGCAGCAGCGACAGCAACAACTGAATAAGTTGGCATCACGTCGTCCACCGTACAGAAGAAACGTCGCTTTGGCGTAAAACCCATAAAAACCAAACACTTGCTCACTCATATCTCGCTCTCTCTCTTTCGCACTTGCGTGCTGTCGCGCCTATCTGGCGGTGTCTCTCTCTCTCTCTCTCTTTCGATATGTCTCTGCTGCTCCATAAAAGTGTACTATGCACTTATTGTTGTTGTTATTTGAAAGGCGATTATTTACTATCTATTTTCTAATATGAAAATAAACACATTAACGATTAAGGGGAAGCAAGCAAACATTGATATGATCAACTTTTAGATGCCCTGTAAATGTGATGGGTAGAGTCTAAAAGACACCATAGACAAGCCCCATGAAGTGCACCTAATGTAATCAGATCACAACATACCCTGTTAATAGTTGTCTCATGCTAGAGGATATACAGTGCTCAGCTATGCTGAAGCTTGAGGCTTGTGGTTTGTCTCCGGAAAATTTCTGGGCACTCGCAGTGATACCCGGTGCCAGTCATAGCTATCTGATTGTCAGGTATCAGACACTTTGTAAACAGTTTTATAATTGACAACAATAAAATACAATGTTATGGCTAGAGGAGTGATTAATATATATGAGACCGAGTAATACCCCCTTCTAGATGA